AAAAAATACCACAAAGAGCACACTCGCGCGTTCATGTCAGAATCCTCCGAACACCGTGTGTTTGCAAGCATTTCAACATAAAAACATCAAAAACCCAATGCTTTTTTTCACAAAAATTGTACAAATTTCCCGCCCGGGCTCTCTTGCTGAAATCATAGGAAAACATAGGAATCTTAAGAATTCGGTCAAATCCAGCGATTTCACGTCATCGCGCGGTGCACTCGCGATGCTCTGTCATGCACCCAGGCCGCGAATCCTGTGCAAAAAAAACCACAAAGAGCACACTCGCGCGTTCATGTCAGAATCCTACCGAACACCGTGTGTTTGCAAGCATTTCAACATAAAAAACATCAAAAACCCAATGCTTTTTCACAAAAATGCTTTGAGGTGTCCTGTCAGACCGTCGGGTTTCCTCCGGCCACCTCTGGCTTCCTGCGGTGTACCGGGCCATTCTCAACTCGTCTGGCAATGCGTGCGCGGCATTCAACACGCGCTCGCCAGTTCCCGTCGGCAACCGCCATCGCGGCCGCATCAGCTGTACCAAACCGGCTGGCCGGTGTGACTTCGGCCCCCAGTTGTGCCAGCTTTGCTTCTTATGTTGTTGGAGGGCGGGTGGGACTGGGCATGCCATGCTTGACTCGCTCGAGCTGGCTAGCTTGACTCCTACTCCTACCTAACTCTATCTCCCTACTCTACTCTACTCCTATCTACTCCTACTACTTCTACTACTACTACTACACACACCACCACCCCACCACCAACCACCAACCACCACCACCACCACCACCACCACCACCACCACCACCACTACTACTACTACTACTACTACTACTACTACTACTACTACTACTACTACTACTACTACTACTTCTAGTACTTCTCCTACTACTTCTCCTCCTTTTCCTCCTCCTTCTCCTCCTCCTCCTTATCCCTCCTCATCCCTCCACCTTCTCCTCCCTCCTGCTCCTCCTCCGCCTACTCCTCCTCCTCCTCATCATCATCAGCATCAGCATCAGTATCAGCATCATCAGCATCATCATCATCCTCATCCTCATCCTAATCCCTCCTCCCCCCCTCCACCCTTCTCCCTGCTCCCTCATCCTCCTCCTCTTCTTCCTCTTCCTGCTCCTCCTCCTCCTCCTCCTACCCATTCGTCTCCATCCTCCTCCTCCTTTTTTTCCCTCCTCCTCCTCCTCCTCCTCCTCCTCCTCCTCATCATCATCATCATCATCAGCATCAGCATCATCATCATCAGCATCAGCAGCATCATCACTATCATCATCATGATCATCATCATCATCATCATCATCATCATCATCATCACCATCGTCATCATCATCATCATCATCATCAGCAGCAGCAGCAGCATCGGCATCATCAGCAGCAGCATCATCATCAGCATCATCAGCAGCAGCAGCATCGCCAACATCATCATCAGCATCAGCATCAGCATCAGCATCATAAGCATCAGCATCATCATCAGCATCATCAGCATCATCATTATCATCAGCAGCATCATCATCAGCATCAGCAGAATTATCATCAGCAGCACAATCATCAGCAGCATCATCTTCATCATCATCAACCACAACAACACTACCACCACAACAACAATCATCATCATCGTCATCAACATCATCAGCATCATCAACATGATCATCAACAACATCATCTTCATCATCAGCATCACCATCAGCATCATAAGCCTTTAAGCAGCATCATCTTCATCATAACAATGGTCATCAGCAGCAGTATCATCATCATCGTCGTCATCATCCTCGTCACCATCGTCATCAGAATCATCATCCTCATCATCATCATCATCAGCAGCAGCAGCAGCACCATGATCAACATCATCATCCTCATCAGCAGCAGCAGCATCTTCATCATCCTCGCCATCATCGCCATGATCATCAGCATCCTCATCATCGTCATCGGCAAGGCCTTGCCTGTCCTCGGCCTCTCGCCTCGATCGGTCGCACGCCACGGAAGCGAGATGCGACGCGTGCGCACGTGTGCGCGCGGCCATGCACGTCTCCGGAGGGGCACGACCCAGCTCGCAGCCTGCGATTCCCTGCATACCCAGTTACATGCAAGAGCGACCCCAGGCAAGAGTGACTTTTGGTGCGCGGCTTTGAGGGGGCACGAAGGGGCCAAGTTCGAGCGAGTAAGCCGCTTAGGCCGGTGCAGGGGCGCACCTGTGGGCCCGCACCAAAGGTCACTCCAACGAAAGGTCACTCTTACGCGTGACCGACATGCTTGCTGCGCCAGAGGGTGGACGACCCCCGACGCTGTCTACACATCAGCCCCTCGGAAGCAGCTTCCCAGACACCCAAAACTTCCTGTCCTGATCAGGGCTTCGGAACTGATCGACGCAAGACAGCGAGAAGGTGGACCCAAACTATCACAATGGCATCCGCGGAAGACGGAGCGAAATGGAACTGGAACGCCTTCGTCATGTTCACGTACTCGAACACCTCCGCGATTGCTTGCCTTGCGCGAGCAGTGCAATTCAGAAGAGTGGGCAAAGGCAAACATCCTCAAGCCCCTATGCGGGGCCACCGGGTCGCGAAGAACGGGCTCTCAAGTCTAGCAAATGTTGCACGTGATTGCTTCCGCTACGGTGGCCACCGTCGAGGTGTCGTGAACATATGACATGCCTGCTGCCAGTTAGCGGCGCTGGAGATCTGAAGCGCTTATTCTAGCAAGCAGAGAGGGCCGGCGTGCTAATCCCTGCAAGCATCTAGCAGTCGCTGCTGAATTCGCGACCCCCAGGCCACCGCGAGTCCTGCCCACGAGCGCCTCAGGCAGTTCGGAAATCGACGCAGAGACAGACAGGAGAACGGTGCCCTGCCCATGCTCCCTCAGGACCACTCACTGACTTACGACAATTCACACATGGCCGATTCTGGGAACCCTGAACCAAATCATGTTCACAGTCGGGGTTGATTAGAGAGAACGGGCGGACAAGGACACAAGACCCTCCCGAGGGCCACACTGCCATAGGAATATAGAAGGCGTGGGCCGCAACACACAGGACACAAGGGTACCAGTGATTGGCAGGGTCCACCTGCCAATCAACCTCGACTGTACTGGAGAAACCAAAAAATACCGATACCTCTACTCCCCGGACCTCTACTGTTGTGCGTTCTGACGAGAATCTCGCGGCGAACCCAGCGGTGGCGGCGAGGGCCTCCCATGAGTCCCCTAAAAAGGGAAAACAAGCAAAAGGTAGCGGTTTTTTCAAACAAGAAAAGACATACGTAAACTTTTAGCGCCCCGCGCGGATTTCTTGGATCTGCGCCGGACCCCCTTCCCTGGCGCGCGGAGCGCGCCAGAGGCGCGGCCAGGGGGGGGCCCAGCGCGGATCCAAGAAATCCGCACGGAGCGTCAAGAGCTCGTGTTTATGGCGTTTTTTTGTTCCTCGAGGCTTGGGTGCCTCCTCCTCCGCTCGTGCACGCCTCGCCTTTGCTTCCGCTGCCCACCGCCACTCGCCTCCGACGGCGGCCCCGCCGCCGTCTTCTACTGCCGCCTGCCTCCGCCGGCCCTCCTCCGGCTGCCGCCGAGGGCCAGGGCGCGCCGGAGGTGAGGCCGCTTTGTGGAGCGACATATACATACATATATGTATATATGCATATATATATATATATACATGTATGTGTGTATATATTTATACATACATACATACCTATATATATATATATATATATGTGCGTGCGTGTATATATGTATATTAACGGGGCCCAGGGACACACAAAGAAATAGGCACAAATCCCAGGAACCCCATTTTCCACATGTTCGGGGTGTTCCTCTTCCCCCCCACTTCCCATAGTCTCCGATATTTTCCTGGGAGTCGACGATTGATTGTGAATGTCTTGGTGTGTGGCTGCGTATGTGTTGTGCGTGCTTGCGTGCGTGCGTGCGTGCGTGCATGGGTGCGTGGGTGCGTGGGTGCGTGGGTGCGTGGGTGCGTGGGTGCGTGGGTGTGTGTTGTGTTGTGTTGTGATGTGTTGTGTTGTGTTTCGTTTCGTTGTGCTTCGTTTCGTTGTGTTGTGTTGCGTTGTGTTGTGTTGTGTGGTGTGGTGTGGTGTGGTGGGGTGGGGTGGGGTGGGGTGGGGTGTGGGGTGGTGGGGTGGGGTGTGGTGGGGTGGGGTGGGGTGGGTGTGGGTGTGGGTGTGGGTGTGGGTGTGGGTGTGGGTGTGGGTATGGGTGTGGGTGTGGGTGTGTGCGTGCGTGCGTGCGTGCGTGCGTGCGTGCGTGCGTGCGTGCGTGCGTGCGCGTGTGTGTGTGTGTGTGGGTGTGTGTGTGTGTGCGTGTGTGTGTGTGCGTGTGCGTGTGCGTGTGTTTGTGTGTTGTGTGTTGTGTGTTGTGTGTTGTGTGTTGTGTGTTGTGTGTTGTGTGGTGTGTGTGCTCCCCTCCTGGTATGTGAAGACAGCATCTTGCAGCACGCCCCAGAGACACATCGCCCCGTGCGGCTCACGCCTGCAAGCGGCCTGACGTCCGAGAGCGCCCCACACGAAGAGATCGTCTTGCAGCACGCCCCGGAGGCACATCGCCGCGCGCGGCGCACGCCTGCAGGCCGCCCGGAGTCCGAGCCTATGCAGCCGAAGCCGCGGGGCGCCTCTGCGCCGCCAGGGATGGTCGGAAGCCTCCGCCGCTCCGCGGCTGCCCGACGGACCTGGCCCGACCCGCCCGCCAGGGCGGAGGGGCCGAGGGGCCAGGCCCCCGTCGGAGCCTCTGGCGCCTCATGCGCTCCCAGATCGGGGGCCCGAGGGCAGTGTCCCTGGCCTCCAGGTGCCTCCAGCTTGTCGCGCCAGTCTGGGGCCCCCCGGGGGCCCTCCGGGCGTCGCGGGAGGTGCTCGGGAGGCCCTCGGAGCGATGAGAAGAAGCGGGTCTTCCGCGAGAGGGCACAGCGACCGTGCGCGGTGGCTTACGCAGGCTGCCCGCCTGGAACGCTGCATTGGAGACGAAGGTGCTTACGCGCGATCTTACGCGGGGAGCTTACGCGCGAATGCCGGAGCAGTCGAACTCGTTTTTCTGCGTCGCTCACCTGGGTCTCCCAGAACACTTTGGGGGCACCTTTGGACCAGGGACATACTCGGCAAGAGCCGACCATGAGCACCCTTCAAACGATCCCTATCCCCACTGGCATGGCCGTGGCCCCACTGGCCGACTTGCCGCCCTAAGAGGGGCTGTGTGCTGATACCCGCACATTTCGCGGGTGACACGTCCCCATCACGAGGGGGGAGGGGGGGCCGACGGGGCCGAAACGCAAGAGGCCAGTGGGGATGGGGATCGGTTGGGCGGTGCTGGGACCAGAAGGTGCCCACACGCCCGACGACGTGTGTGCGAGGGCGTGTTTTGCTCCCTGCGCGGCCCAGGAGGCCCCGCCCCCTCTCCCGGAGGTCGCTCCTGCGGCCCGCATATCCGTTCCCGCGGGCCCCGCCCGGGGGCCCGGCCGCGGGCCCCGGAGGCCGAGATCGACATCAGGCAACGCCCGGAGGGGCAGAGCCAGATCGTCGGAGCTCCGGATGCTCCGAGGGGCCCTCCGGCCAATGGGTACGATGCCCAGCGGCAGCGCTGTCCAAAACCGGCAGCGGCCGCCGTGGGGCAGGCGCACGTGGGCAACGCGCGCGGCGACACCGGCAGCGAGTCCTGCTCAGAATGAAGAGGAACCGCTGTCGGTCATTGCGCCCTCTCTCTCCGTATCCATTTCTCGAGCGAGCGCTCGTCTTGAATACGAAGCTCCAGAGGGGCGCCACCCCCGTCGGGGGTTGCTAAAGGTGCCCCTGTCCCAACGTGCCCCCAGCTTTGTGCTCCATGTTGGAGCCCCTGGGGCCCTTTGGGCCTCGTGAGGGGTGCTCTGGGGGCCGTGGGGGCCTCCTTGGAAATCCTGGGGGCACCCTGTGCCAGGGGCACTGCTAGCAACACCCGATCCGGAGGGGCACTGGGGTACTATGTGGGACCTGCTCTAGAACAGGAGCATACTGTAAACGGATCCACCCCTGATCCGCTCTTGTACTGAGCCGAACACAACGGCCGCGTTGTCCACAGACGCATCCTCCCCAGAATGCGCCTATAGCCTATACGACGTCACTGCACCCAAGAACGTGCCCATAGACTCGTGGATAAAACGTGCGAACGGTGTGTGGCATAGGCCCCAAATGTTTGTCCTCTAAATCGGCGGCGAGTCTGGGGGGAAATGAGAGGGGGCGGGCCTTCTCAAAATACTCGGAAATCCCCCAGCCTTGTGAGAAGCTCTCTAAGCGTTCCTGGAAGACACCAGAAACCTCAGAAGGCGCGAGGGCTTCTGAGAAGTCCCGCCGCATTCTGAGAAGGCCTTCTCCTTCTCACTTCCCCCCCTCGCTCGCATCCGGTAGGAGCAGGTCGACTTTGGCCCTCCACGAGAAGCACCCCCAAGCAGCAGACGCCCCCCCCCCCGCCCCCGAGCGCGCTCCACCCTCTGGGACGCCAGAGGACATGCTGGTGCTACGTGCTCGTCCTGGAGGCGCACGTGCGACCCGAACATGTAGCACGGCCATCTCATAGTGCAGTGGGGGCCCGACCACAGGAAACCTTCCGCAAAAAACCCAACCCTGAGACCCCAGGATGTGCATTGATTTTCGGCGTGGGAACGTCACGCCTGCCATAGTAAAACCATCGAAACCAGGGCACCCTGGAGGCAAGCAAAGGGGTTTCTCGGCATGGGCCTCCACTGTACATCTTTTCCCGAGCGGTACGGCCAGAAAGCGCCCGCCCCGAAACATATACCGTAAGATGTCTCGGCGCGCGCGTCGCCCATGAGGGGGGGCGACGCACACATAATACTAGTATGCTCGGGTGACGCTGGCCCTCCGCCGCTGAATCAGCACCGAGCGCAAGGCACCTAGCGGAAAGAGGGGTACGGTTAGGTCGGGCATGTCATCCTACAGGTGGATTTTGAAGGAAAAACAAAACGTAGTCAACAAATATTCCAAGAGGGCGCGCCGCTGGATCACCCAAAGTGGGGGGGGTCCGGGACCCCCCCCCACCCCTCCCCACCCCCTTCCCCGATCCGTCGTCGGCCGACCCCCCCCCCCCCTCCCCGCTCCATCGTCGGCGGACCCCCCCCCCCCCTTTCCCGATCCTTCGCGGCGGACCCCCGCCCCCTTTCAAAGGGGGGTGGTCCGACCCCGCCCCCCCCTCCCCTTTGAGCGTGAAATTTGACCCCCCCCCCCCCCCCCCCCCTTCCCCCCTTTCGCCACGCCGCCCCCTGGCTCCGGAACCCGATCCATACCACACCTAACCCTCAACCTAATCCCTGCCCTAACCCCTAACTCCTAACCCAACCCCCCACTCCTAACCCTAACCCCTACCCTACGCCTAACCTTAACCTCTACCCAAGCCCCTACCCTAACCCCTAATTCAAACCCTAAACCCCACCCCAACCCCTACCCTAAGCCCTAACCCTAAAACTTAACCCCTACCCGAACCCGAACCCCTATCCTAATCCCTGATCCTAACCCTGACCCCTACCCGAACCCTACCCCTAACCCCTACACCTAACCCGAACCCTACCCTTTACCCCGAACCCTGGCCCCTAACCCTAATCCCTGACCCTGACCACAAGACCTAACCCTAACCCTTAATCTAACCCTAAGCCCTAACCCTTACCCTAAGCCCTAATCCAACCCCCTAAACCCTAACCCTAACCCCCAGCCCTGCCCAAACCACTACCCTAACCCCTAACCTTAACCCTAACCCCTAACCTTAACCCTAACCCCTACCCTAAACCCTAACCCTAACCTAACCCCTAACCCCTACCCCCACCCCTAACCCTGACCCTAATCCTTAACCCCAACCCTATGCCCTAACCCAAACCCCTAAACTCTACCCTAACCCCTGACCGTAACCCTAACTCGAATATTAATACTAAGCCCTAATCCTAACCCCTCAACCCTACCCTAACCTAACCCCTACCCTAACCCTAACCTCTACCCTAACCCCCACCCTACCCCCTAACCCTAACCCCTTTCCTAAACCCTAACCCGGACCTAGCCCCTAATCCTAACCCTAATCCCTACCCCAACCCTAACCTAACCTCAACCCTAAACCCTCACCCCTAACCTCAAGCGTAAACCCTAATCCTAACCCCTAATCCCAACCCTAACTCCTACCCTATCCCTAACCCTATCCCTAACCCCTACCCTTAACCCCTACCCTAACCCTAAACCCTAACCCTTCATCCCGACCCTAAACCCTAACCTTAACCCCTAAGCCTAACCCCTACCCTAACCCTAACCCGTACCTCAACCCTAACCCCTAACGCCGAATATCCTCACCCTACCCCGAACCCCTACCCTAAACCCGAACCCTACCCCTTACGCCTAACCCTGGCCCCTAACCCGAACCCTAATCCCTAACCCTCACCCTAAGAACTGACCCGAACCCCTAAACCCTACCCTAACCGATAACCCTGACCCTAATCCCTAACCCTTACCCTAAGCTCTAATCCAAACCCCGAAACCCTAACCCTAACCCCCAGCCCTTCCCTAACCCCTACCCCAACCCCTAACCTTGACCCTAACCCCTACCCTAAACCCTAACCCTAACCTGACCCCTAGCCCCACCCCTAAACCTGACCCTAATCCCGAACCCCAACCCTATGCCCAAACCCTAATCCCTAAACCCTACCCTAACCCCGAACCCTAACCCTAATCTCTAATATTAAACCGAAGCCCTAACCCTAACCCCTAAACACTACCCTAACCACTACCCTAATCCTAACCTCTACCCTCCACCACCTTAACCCCAGCCTCCAGCGCTCCGGAGCGGAGAGAGCCTCCCCACCTGCCCCCCCCCCCTTCCCTGGCCAAAGAGGGGGAGGGGGGGGTCCGAAATCGCCCCCCCCAGTCTCCAGCGCCAAGGGGGGGGGGCATCCGGACCCCCCCCCGCCCTTTCAAAGGGGGGAGGCGGGGAGGGGGTCTGGACCCCCCTCCCCTTGAAGGGGGGGGTCCGAAAATGTCCCCCCCCCCCTGGGGGGGTTCTGGG